TATTTTATTAGGAGCTAATCCAGACATCATACCATTCCATAGTTCAATCACATCAAGCAGTGTTGCACAATTGCTACCAAAATAAGTTTCAAAACATTTTCTTCACTCCTGAATTCCTTGATATAAGCTCCTCCTCACCTGTCCCGCGTACCCCCTCCGCCAGGAATCCTTACTCTAGTTGTTGTCTCTATGGAGCAGTGGTTCTGAACCTTCCTCATGTTGGGCAAACCTTTAATACTGTTCCTCATGTGGTGGTGACCCCCAAAACATAAAATTATTTTCGTTGCTACTTCATAACTGCAATTTTATTACTGTTATGAATTGGGCGAACCCTGTGAAAAGGTTGTTCAACCCCAAAAGGGGTCACAACCCACAGGTTGAGAACCGCTGCTACAGACTCACACAATGAAAAGGAACACAATTTGAGTTGCTCAGGGATGTCAAAACTGTCATTTTGATGTGGTATCGATTGAAGAGCACAAAATTCACTGGGGAAAGCTTAGAGATGCAAACATTGCCTTTAGAATTGTAATGATGTAGATGTACAATATATGTTGAGAAACATTAGCTTCACATTGTTATTCTTTTTAATACGTGATTTTGTAGTAGTACTTTTCAACTTATTCTTATACTGCAGTTCATAATGATCAAATAGCCTGGATTTAATGGAACAAGCTCAGTTTAAAAAATTTTCTCCCTGAGGCCTGATAGGGCATGATCAAGGGTAATGTAACAAAGAGGAATTGCTGAAATCCTGGTGGGGACTGAGCATGATAGTGGGACAGGAGGAAAGTCAAGGGAAGTAGAGGAAGAGCTGGGAGGCAAAGGGCATTTATAGAGGTCTAGATAAAGACATGTACATATGCAATACATTTATATATGAGGATGGGGAAATAGATCTATGTGCCTATATTTATAGGCTTAGTATTAAAGTAGCAGAGGGACATTGGGCCTCCACTCAAGTACCCCTTCAATGCAAGAATACTTTCTTCTATTAAATTGGCATTCTATGATGCTCACCTTCCCAACATAACCACTGAAGACAAAAGCGGGTGAATAAGCAAACGTGGCAAAGAAAGCTGATGGTGGCCGGCTATCATAAAGTATAGCATCTGGGGTCTTAAAGGCTTGAAGGTAAACAAGCGGCCATCAAGCTCAGAAACAACAAAGCCCACATGGAAGAAGCATACCAGCCTATGCGATCATGAGGTGTCGAAGGGATCAGATATAAGGTATCATCAGAACAAAAAAATCTTACCATAGTGAATGATAGGGGAAGTGCGGAGTGGAGACCAAAAGCCCTTGTAGGCCACTGGAGATCCTCTTGCAAAGGGGTGACGGGGAGGAGATGAGCCAGTCAGGGTGCGATGTAGCAAC